CACCCCCTCACATTCTACAATGTTGTCGTTTATTTTTTTTTTAATTTTTGAAGTAAATGTTATCTGAAACATATTTACAACTGAACTCAACAGAGACTGTGAAACTGAACAGGCACTGGTCATTTGTTTTTGTTTGTTTTTTGTTTGTTTTTTGTTTTTGTTTTTTTTCTCTCTCTCTCTTACTTTTTTTTTGGTAAACATTTTTGCTGGTTTTTTGTCTCTCTCTCTCTCTCTCTCTCATTTTGCATCAACTTTTATTAGTCCATGCAACTTCAATGCCCTCTATGAAGAATGCATAATAAGCCATACTTCTTTTTTCTTTTCTTTTTTTTTAAAAAGTCCTTCTGCATATAGATACACATTTGCCACATCAGTCCCTGTAGCACAGTTTTCAAAACCATTCTGTCAAAAATACAGTAATACAAAGACTAGCTTTAGTGTCACTAGCTCACGCTGCTTTCCATGTATTTCGGCCAACTTTTTGTTTTGCTTTTTCTTCCGGGAACTTTATCATGCAGTAGAAGCATCAAAGGCTTGCGGTAGCATATGGGGTTGCTAGTGGCACTGAAGCCCCTTTCACAAATTCAACGTACATTTGAATTGCAACACACAGATATTCCTAAAGAGTAATAACTAGTGAACCCTTTTATTATATATATAAAAAAACTACTTACAACCATTGAAGAAAAAAATTGCAACACAAAATGTATAAATTGACCGTCTCCTACTTTGTCCCCTTTACTATTAACAAATGTGACTAATAGAGCTGTGGCATGGAAACAGTACAAGAGTTGTCATGGCAATAAGTTTGGCTGATGCAAAGGTCATTGTGCAGGGTCAAAGGGCAAACCCAGTGGTCCATGTTATCCTCCAACTGTGGTGCTCCAACACACCCACACAATTTTGAGGAAATAGAAAAACAGGGGAACTATCAGAAAGTGCAAATATGAAGGAGGCAGGTTTCAGCTCCTTCAGCATGGAGTAGGACATTCAATTTTGAGCTTTCGCTGTTCAACATGATTAGTCTGCAATGCATTGTATTTCTTTTTTAGCATTTTCTTTAGAAACCCAATAAAGTAAGAGCCTAGGAAGCATGCAGCTGGTAAATGTTAACAAAAGACCTTGACAGAAACATGTAAACTATATTCAATGTCATGCTTAAGGCATTACTGCCAGCAACGTTGTAGACTCATTTCTTTAATTGTGAATACTGTACATTGAATATGGGATAACTTTCTGCAGCCTTCACCATCTCACATAGTACACAAATTTAGAGTATTTTTTTTAGGTACAGGTCATACTCCGCTGACAAAGCTCAGTATGTCCTTGTGCAATCTCATTCAATAAGTCCTTATGAAGCTCTTAGTTGCAAATCCAAACTTCTGCTCCCTGAGGACACAAGCTATGTGAGACATAAGTACTGTTTTAGTTTTCTGTCTGTCGTGAATGCTCTGTGGACCTACTCTTAAATACCATCATGTAACAATCACAAAAAACTTTTGCTAAAGGCCATTATATACTAATAAAAAAAGACAGTGGTGCTTCCAACATTCTGAAATGCTCCAAAACCCAACTTTTCCAATACTAAATACAACAAAATAACCTTCATAAAATATAACTTTTCTCCATTTACAATTTCTTTTAAAAGGATTAGTAATCTATGCTTTTCAAGCATAGTGAAATATCTCCTAACATGGACAGATTTTTTTTGTTTTGTTTTAATACATAAATTAAGAAACTGGAGAGTTTTAACTCAAGTCCAGTTTCCAAACAAGGAATATTCTTGTTTACTTTAAAAGTGGAAATGACACACATTTCCATTATAATTGCTAAAAATTAGCTTTACAAACGAGGGTGCTTTAAAAAAAATCTTAACAAAACTATACAGTGTACAAATTACTGTCTACAAGGTAGGTGGGTTCATTAAGAAGATTCTCTGTTCTTCTCTATCTGCAGCTTCACAGGTTCATTCACATATTTTAAATGGAGCTGCCCACCTGAACGCACAACTATATTGCTATATTTAATATTTTGCCATGTCTTTATGTACAGTCTCCTTCACTGCCTTTTTTTCCTTAGTCAAGCCTCAAACGTTCCTGTCATTCTAGGGGAAAACACACTTCAGTGGCACTGCCAAGAGGCCAGGGCTGCAAAGCAACTGAATAAAGGCAGAACAGTGCACATAGAACGGGGTGGCTCGATTTAGTCAGAATATACTTCCTGATGAAGGAGGAGGTTCAGACTAGATTTGAGTTTGCAACGTTTCATGCTAGAATTCTCAGCTTTGAGAAAAGTTAGGAACAGCAGGTATCATTCTGATGGGCCTTGATATTAAAAATGAAGGCAGAAAAACCCACAGAGATCTCTTGCCCTGAGAGTACTTAACTGGTACGTCAGTGCGGTCAAGACGAATGCCTGGATCACAGGGGGGGAAATCACAGAGCAATTTAGCCCTTGATAAATAAGAATGTCTTCCCTATTTAAGTGTCTGTGGAAATCCATTCACACAATAGACAAGGATTATCTGAAAAAGTTCAGGTGAGACTATGCCCTCTCAAGGGATCATTTAAACTATTGCACTTTAAAGTCTGAACTCATCTTCGTTTCATCCTGTCACACTGTCCCATATTATAGAAGCATCCTGCTGAACGTCTGCACAAATGTTGTCCTCCAGTCAACTTGGATCACACAGTCCATTCCTGCACATTATTAAGTGATTCCCAAGGAGAGCTGCTTGTACATTTCAGTTATTTCCCAACAGCCATGCATTTTTTGAGTTAATTCATTTGCCTTAAGACTCAGAAAAGAAGAACCAACACATAGCTGGTTTCATTAAAAACAAACCTTACCTCCACCCTCAAAAAATCTGCCTACAACTTTGGAACTTCCATGTGGGCTTGCAGGTGCAACACATTTAGAAAATGTTCTGTTGATGCAGCCCCCAAATTCGAAGTCCAGGCAGGCCCTACAGAAAGACTATGCCCATGCTGCTGCTTATGTTCGTTGCCACTCTGAAGATGTTTCAGAAAAAAAAGATGACTGCAGCAAAGACCAGCAGTAATTATTCAAGTGGTAACTCATAGAGATGAAGGCTACAGTCCAAAGGATCACGCAGCCACAAACACTGTGCATCAAGCTGCCTTTCAAAATTCAGGGCAATTTCAGTGGTGGTTCCTGGCACAGCTGTGGAAGAGTAAAATGGTGAACATCAAGATTCCCATGAAATAGCCTGTCATGAGCATCCCCATGGCTCTGAGGGCTTTATAATTTCAGAATGCTCTTCTTCCTAATAATTTTGTTTTCGAGGAGGATATATTTGAAGGGATCATTTCTTCATCATTTTATTATAGTTCAAACTGCCAGCCTGCGAACATGTGCTGAACCCAGTGGCAGATAAAAATTGTGCCTCAGCATACAAGTCTCTGCGCAACCTCTCAATTTAATACTGTTTGCAGGTACAGGTACCCAAGGCCAAAATGAACAATGCTGTGCCAGCTATGAAAAACATGCACATTAGACCAGTATGAACACTGTTTTTCTATTGGGGAAGCAGTTTATAATCACATGGGCTTGCTTTCCTGCCCCTGGTCATGGGCACTGTGTGGTCACCCGGCACACAGAGGAGCACTAATATTGCAGTGACCCTAACAATATCCCATATGTAGGATATTAACTACTGCACAGGGCTTTGCTTTTAAAAACACAGAGTAAGGCCTGTGTTTTCCTTTCCTCACTTTCAGCTGCATCTTACAATTAGTCACATGGGAAAGAGTCTGCTCTACTTAGGTAGTTGATACAGCCCAACTGTTGCGACAGGCAAGCCAGGTAAGAAAGGACTGAAGCGCTGGCTCTCTGCTTCCATTACTGCCAAAGCCAGGAACGCACCACGGGGGAGAGCCCCGTGGAACAAGCTTCAAGCACTAGCTCTTTCTGAGGAGGAAAGGGTCACGTAGACACCCTTCCTGTTGGCAGGGTGGGGAGCTCTTCAAGGTCCTAAGGAAGCAGAGCTGGCTGCTTTCCCTGTGAGTACTGTAGCATATAGTGCGGTTCTTAGAGAAAGCCCCCACAAATGACACAGCACATAGGCATTTTGTATTTGGAAACTTTGTGTTGAATCTACAAGGGGGGAGCTAAGATGCCTTCAGAGGACAAAAATCTTATTAGCATATATATACTGTGCATCTGATTCCCCGTTCCTTAAAATATGCTTTTATACCATAGCCTAGGATGAGATACCTTTGCAAAATTCAAAAGGGCTATTATTCTCTGTGGGTTTTGATGTCTCAAATTGAAAAAGAGTATTTTTTTTTCCTCAAGCCAAGTCTGCCTCCAACAGAATCCTTTATTTATTTTATTTATTTCTCAATCATCATCATCATCATTATCATCATCATCATCATCATCATTATTTAAAACCAGAAATGAGTTCAGCTTGCACCCCAGGTGGAAAGTTAAAAAGAGGACACCTTTTTGAGATTTTTATCACAGTAGGCAGAAGAGTCGCTTTGTAGCCCTCACCCAGCCAATGGTGCACTGCTTCACAGCTACACTGTCAAGTGTTAAAAATACTTCCCACCCACCCCAGAATATATAGATATATGCATGTATAAAAAAAAAATCCCCTGTCCATCTCTTAGTACACAAAAGGACCTCATCACACTGCAAAAATAGCAGTACCCACTTTGGTCAATTAAAACAAACAAACAGACAAACAAACAAAAAGCATACATTAATCTTTTGTCTTTTAAATCTGTGTACTTACCTATAATAACCAATACAGCTAAAAGCACTACCTACATAGGCAAAACTTGGTATTGCATAATTCGTATAAATTTGAATCCCCTCCCCCCAATATTAATTGGAAGATGAAAAACATGAAAGATTAATAGAAAAAACACCAAAATACTGAAAATATTGCTGGTCGATTACAATTTTTAAGCGGCAACTATACACAGCCATGATATGCTTTATAAATGTGAGATAAAGTTATACTGCTTAAAAAATCCATGATGTCACTTTTTTTGTTTTCCCATCTGGAGTACAAAATATTTTGTCATAAAAATGGTAAAGATTTAAAATGATAATAAATGCAGCAAAACAAGTGTAGTGATGTCACTTTTTAGATTTCAAGGCAAGGCACGTTATGTGGACATTATAACTTCGTGCAAATTAGGATTACTGGATAGAGTCGTTTTAATTAATTTTTTATAGAGACATCGAGGCAAAATGTATCTGCCCATGCACATTACTGTCATTGCGAAAAAACTGTCAAACAAGGCTAATTTCTGAGAGCACCATGCAAGTTTTCAGCACCCTGTCATTAGGCTTTTTAAAAGAGTGCATTTTTTAAAAATATATTTCAATTCCCTCAACCCAACAACCTGGCATTCCCATTTGTAAACTGTAAGCTTTGCCCCTGTGACATGGATTTACCTCTCTCCGTCTCTGTGATTAAGGTTTTATAGAACCTTTCCTATTCTCTATGGGTTCTTGATCCAGCCAGTAACTTTAAATAAATAAGATACCTCAACAGAGGCAGAAGCTAATTCAACATAAGTGCTGTGTTTCAATTAATTTCTTTTTCTCAAGTACATGATCTGTCTTGATTTAATGAATGCCTTTTAATGCCCCTCCCCTTTTACAACTGAGGGGAAAATAAATTTGTTCGAAATACTTTTGAAATTCTTCTTTTTAATCCCCTCAATTTAGAGTCCAAGGGCTAAAGGACTTATAACAATGATCCCCTTTAGATATAGTTTTTAAATTGCACTTGCCTCTAAGTGTTTTTCCTCAGTGGGGGAAATTATTTTTAGTGTCTTTCTCTTTTTGTTTTTACTGTCATATGAGAAGATAACACTTCTTTTAAACCTAAAGTGAGGCATTGATTCTTTAACATGCCTGTTTGTTTAAATGATTTCCTGAAAAATTTAAACTGGGTAACACACAAGGAAAAGGTTGGGTTAAGGGCCAAAGTTAAATAAATTTGGGTTGATAACTAAAGATTAAATTGATTTGCTGTTGTTGTTTCCTTAAAAATATTTCAAAACCAGAGTGCTGTGAAAAGCTGGCCCATGGCCCTCTTTCTTATGCAGCTCTGTGGATGCCTCCTAGCCTTTGTTTTGAGAGCTAACTAGGAATAGTGATCCCATGCGTAAACAACAAGAATACTAAACCGATAAACTAGCTTATCATGCAAATATTAAGGCATCTAGAAAGTCAGTCAAAATATATTGTCAGAGACAGAACATCTATTTCCCAGTGGATTTCATAGAACAAAGGCTACTTAAGAGGAGCATCTTTCTACTCTTCAGTGAAATATTGTCGACCCTTCTTCTTCGTCTTCTTTAAAAAAAAAAAAAAAAACACCATTACAGTTTCAACCTTAAGGGAATTAGTGATTGTAAGTGCTGCAATTGCTGGTCTATGTTTCTTCTTTCTTCATTTTTTTTGTCCCGTCTTCCTTTCTTTTATAACATTTTGTTCAGTTTCGATCTCCCTCAGTTGCTTGTTTCTGCTTGAAGGAAAGGTTCTCCAATTAGGTTCAAACCATAATTTTGGACATTTGTGGGCAGGATTGGTGTCCTGTTTGATACTTGAAAAGGGACCAAGCTAGCCCAGGTACCAGGACTGTTGAGGGAAAAGAGAAGAGAGAGCAGAATAAACATTTAAAATGTAGCAGCAAGAATTAACAGAATGAACATTTGAATATCACCCAAATGCATATTCTGACAATCAGTCTAAACTCATGTCACAGTGAAATATGAAAATATCATTTGCTAGCAGTGTTAATTTTTCTAACTACTCAATCTTGGGTCAATAAGTAAATATTCTGGATGAAGTATATACTGATTACTGCACTAGTTTCACAAAATAGTTTATTCTCTCTGCACAGAGTATATTGTGAGTATAGCTGGCACACAAGACAAAGCTGGTATTTAATATTGTATGGAAGTTTGTTTCGATAAATATTGCTAATTCAATCCACCTTAATTGATGGTGAACATAGCAGTTTTATTTTCTTTAATTTCCAGTGTCTTTGAGGACAACAAAATCATTTTTGTAGGTAAAAACAAATTACTATTAATAGCATTTTTCACATTTAGTACTTTAGCAATGAAGGGCAGAGGGATTTTTATTTTGGGAAGTGGAAATATTCAACAAAATTAAACTGTAGTAAGTGTCTGAAAAGATTACTTAACACATTTTATGCAGGTATTTCTCAAATTTCTCAAAACTTATTACAGTGTTAAAAGTGCACCATGAAATATACTTGTTGATTCGACAAAGAAAGGGTAAATCTCATATGCTGGCACTATGCAGATCCAACAAATATTTTATAAGCCTCTGACCAGCTGTTGGTTGGTCAGAGGCTTATAAGCTGAGAGTTGAACAGAAATGGTTTCTCTGCCAGTATTCCGTTAGTATTATAAATATGGTACCAGGGCAGCAGTGACCTAAGACATGTTGCTTAGATATATATGTTCTGATTAAACAAAAAGATGTTCTATATTTGAGTCCCATGGCCCCTTAAAGTCAAATAAAGACACTAGTAGTCCTGAGATCTTTCGTACGTAGGTTTTGCTACAATCATCTAAGGAATGGTATATGCTGTATTTGCCATGGAGAAAGCAAAAGCAGCCACCTTCTTATGGGTGTTCTGTACCCCACTTTTTTAGAATAGCTTACTATGCAGATTGCCATCAATCTGCAAGACCCTCTGTAGCCCTGTTGGATCCTGCTGGTGGCCACTTGGTGCAAGTGGGAAGACACACAGTGTAAAGCCAGGCAGCTTGTCTATAGCACTTTGAATAGGCTCTGTACAGGAATGAAAACCACATGGAGGCCATGAAAAACAATGAAAACAAGTATAATATACTGGAAGTATTGGGATGATTCTCCAAACCACTGATGGACTGGAAAGAAGCCCTGTCACAGGGTACTACCCCTTCTCCCTTTGTGGATATTGCTTAATGTTTGATCAAGCCAAACAGTATACCTGAATTCTTGTTTAAAGCAAAGTGGGTAACTTCTGGAGTTAGAAAGTGTTGCACTGGCTCTCCCAAATCCACTAAAAGGGCCCACGCCACCCCCACTGCTGTAATTACTGACAAGGCAAAAAGCACAGTACTAATGCAGGGAAACAAGACACATGGAGAGTCTAGACTTTGTTTCCCTGAAAAAAAATGCACTTACAGGAGCCTTCAAGGAGCAAGATTCTGCTTGCAAACATGACACATACTTCGTTTTCCTGAAAATTTGCTGTGATTTTTGCTGCTGTCAGTGGGAGCAGAGAAAACAAGGGAGGCCCATTTATGGGCTGTGAGCCAAATACTGGCCAACCGGAGTTTAAACAAGCTACAGCTTACCTGCAAACCAAGATCAGAAACCAGGATATGGGTGCAACAGCAAACTATGATTTGATCAAACCCAAAAATAAAGCATTACACATGCAAATGGCAGGGGGAGGGTGGGAATGACCAATACAAGAGAAGACTAAGTGGGCACAAGATTATTTTCTATACTACGTTTTACAAGACTGTCCCAAAGTAACCAGTATCAAGTTTTTCCTCAAATGTTATAGAGTATGTTTCTTCATAAGGCAGATACATTATGGCTAGTATCTCAAGGTAAGTGTGATGTATAAATTGCTTCTAAAACAACTTCTCTTCTGAGACCCATCAGGGTTGCGTTGCCAAGGTTTATCTGTTCAGTTTATCCAGACTTAATGTCCAGGTAGTAAGTTTTCCAATAAGGCGAGCCCCTGAAACCGTAGACCCAGATATATATTTATGTGTAGGTTATATGAACATATAAAGCAAAAATAATAAAAATGTAAACAACTTTGCCACTGAAAACCGCTGAGAGGTGCAATCAAATAGGAGAGTATTGCATACAATGGAGGGTCAGTCTTGGAGGCCTACATTCTTCCTAAGCCCTGCTAGCAAAAGCCTCTAAGGTACAGGAAAAGTCAGGGGCTTATTTGGCCTCTGAAAACTGATTTTACGTTAGACATTTCTCTGAGCACATCTAGCTTTGTGCCCCTGCTGGTAGTGAGGATTGGAGGCGAGTGGCCTTTGGATCAGATGTATTCATGCTCTCTCCCCCCTCTGCCACTAGCCCATCTCAATGCACCCATTCCCTTCTCTCCCAGTGCCGTGATGCTGACCTTGGGAAAAGGAGCCATCATGGAGCTTTCTATGGCCTTTAGGGAGAGGTGTTATTTGTGGAAAGAGAAGATTCATAGTTGGGATCTCTCTCCAGGGTCAGCATCCTACTTCTGGCACTGGAGGAGGCCCAAACCCTTCTATGGCCCTCAAGATATTATCTAGGGGCCACGTGGTTGCAGAATACATTACTGATATGGTAATGCTTAATGCCTGAAGTCTGATAATGTCTACCAGAGTCACCTTTGAGCCAATAGCGAAAAAGGGGAGAGATACATAAAGAATGCAGAAAAGCTAAGTTTTGTGCTTCATGCAAGGAAGTCTCAATTCTGTATATAGCACCTGAAGACATCGAACACATAAAAGGTATCCTAACTGAAAACAGTGCTTCTCATATAAATAATAGTTCATAATCCTTCCTTGTATTTCTAACTCTTATACACATGGTACTGTTAAAATTTGATCTATCATTTGAATATTTTTATTGGGCAAGAGGGAAAATAAAGGTGAACACATACTTTAGCTTGGGTTGTACTGAAAGTTTCAGGCTAGTCAATTCTGAAGGTTTGGAGGAACTTGGAAGGTGTCTTAGTTCCTGAAAGGAACAGCAGTGGCCTGAGAGGACTGTTGGGACAGTCCCTCCCCACCTTTTATGGGCTTACAGACCTGTGTGGCCTGAGGGAAGGCAGAAGTAAGGAAGCCAAGGCCTAGGAGCTTGGACCATTAGCACTGATGAAGCCCTTCTTGTGGTCTGAGGGAACTATACCCTAGTGTTTCCTTGGATTCTTTCTTTTTTCTTTTGAGGGGGGTAGTGTTTACTATCTATTTCGGTTGAAATGTATACCATACATATATTCAATAAAATATTAATTCCAGGGGCACAGTATGGAAAAACTGACAGCTGCTAGAGGCGGCCATCTTCCCAAGGTCCCCATACTATGCTTCTGAAAATTATGCTACATAATCTCACAGCCTCACCCCCAGGAACATTCTTGGCCCTCTCTAATTACACCAAGTATAAGCCACACTTCCTAGCTGCTAGCTGAGGGATGGACGGAATCAGACTCCCAGCCATTTTAACCTCAGGAAGTGACTGATTAATTTCTCCACATCCCTGTATTTTAGAATGTGTTTTTCTGTTTGAATAGCAAATCCCTCCACTCAGCTGGTGCCTGGGCAGGACAAACTTGTAACATTGCCCTCTTTCTTCCCTCCTTCTCCCAAAATATACCTGCTTTGAAAAACTAGAAATTGTTTGGTATCTATTCATGTCTTTAGAGAGCTTCTTTTGAATTAGGTATCAGTGGTCCCTGTCCCTGGGCTCTAGTTTTCATCCTTCAATGTACTCTGGAGACCAGAGGCTCAACTTGTTTGCTCACATGAATGTGGAGCTTGTGATACCTACTGGCTTCCACTGTCTGTGTAACAGTCTCGGTGGCAGTGCTCATTCCTCCATCCTGCTGTGATATCTCTTTGTTCCTGGGTACAGGAAGTGCCAGCAGGAACAAAGGGGCTCTGGCTTTTGCAGGTCATGATAGAATAATACTTCATATCTCCCTCTCTCCTTCCCTTCACACGCAGGTAGCTCATTTTAAAGGCTGCTTGTTGCCTTCTAACATGGTTTCGTATTGTCTCCAGAAAATCTCATAAGATACAGATAGCACACATGGATACAGAGAAATAAGGCTACATAAAGATCATCAGGCATGATCAACAACATGGGTACAACATGCCCCCCCCCGCCCCCGTCGAAGCCCTTCCTCTTGTCCTGGAACCCACTGGAGGCTTTGGGAAGAGCTGGGGAGGAATACCCAGGAAGTGAGTCAGACCCAAGACTGTTGACACTTGTTGGTAGCAGCCTTTCAGGCAGTTTTCCCTGTCCTACCTGGATGGCAGAGATCAAACTTGAGAGCTTCTGCATGCAAGCCTTGCATTCTATGACTGAGTCATTGCTGCCAATCTGTGATCTGAGGTTATAATGGTATCCCCCTGTATGCCCCCACCCTCCCAATGAAGGACAAGCAGTAGGCCAGGGAATCCCCTTGTTCTCTCCAATCAGAGAACAAGGAGTAGCAAGTGCACACCCATCTGGTGCTTGAAGAAGTCCCTGCAAGTGCCAGTCCAAGTGGGCTTTGCTTATCCTTCACAGAGGACAAGCCAAGCCAGACAATGCATGCATTCAGAGCCTACAAGAATTCTTGCAAGCACCAGATAAAAGGGCGTCCCTTGTCCCTCTCCCCATGTGAGGAAGGCAAAGGACAGAAGAACCTGAGCTTTGCCTGTCCTGCATCTTCATCCCCACAGACAGCAAAGCCAGTACTTGATGCTGGAGAAATTTCTGAATGTATAATCTGGCCGTGAAAATCTTCAAATACATGGTAATCCACGCATGCAAATTCGAACACAACGCTCCCCCACACAAAGCATGCATAGCTTTTGAGGTCACCTATCCATTACACTTGT